GGCTATTCTTTTTTTTCCCATTTATCCAGCCCCCCCAACGCGTCAAATGGGCAGCACTCGTTTTTTTTTTTTAGTATAGCCTTTCGGCTACACTGTTTTAAAAGGAGTTAAGGGGAAAATTGAGTATAGCCGGTCGGCTATACTATATTTTCTTTTAGTATATATCATTTTTATTCAATGATGTGTGAGAATTTTGTGTTCAATGGTTAAATAATACATATGTAATTAATCAAAAGATTGGCCTTAGGCCTTGGGGCTCTAGGGCTCTATTATTCAAATTAAACCTAACTAGTTAATTATTTATTTCAATTATTTTTAAATAACGTTTTGAGTTTGTCCTCTAAATTCGCAGAGAACGTTCATATCATCATTCTTGTATAGCCGCATAGATAAATCCAAAAATTTCACTAGAAATAAAAGCCCTAGTTCTAGGACTTTGATTTAGAAAGTTGTATCCCAGTGGAGCAGGCGCCATATTCAATTTCATTATTCTATTTGTTGTTTAAAATGTAATTACAAATTAAAGTAATTAAAAAAAGCTAACATATTACTTAATGACATATATTAAATTAAAGAAGTTGGTCAAAAAATAAAAGTTCAGAAACTAATTATATATTTTTTAACATATTTTTTTTCAGATTAAATTTTCATTTTATATAGTATAGCCGCACGGCTATACCATTGCACCAGGGCTTAGGGGCCACGTGTCAAATACAATTTTTGAACAGAAAAATAGGCAAAATAGTATAGCCGCGCGGCTATACTTATAAAAAACAATTTCAGAACGGTCGGCTATACTGTTTTTGCATGTATACAGACCCGCCAACGCGTCAAACGGAAAGCACTGGTTTTTTTTTTTTTTTCAGTATAGCCTTATGGCTACACTGTTTTTAAAAGCAATTAAGGGGAAAATTGGGTATAGCCGGTCGGCTATACTATATTTCCTTTTAGTATATATCATTTTTATTCAATGATGTGTTAGAATTATGTGTTCAATGGTTAATTAATACATATGTAACTAATCAAAAGATTGGCCTTGGGCCTTGGGGCTCTTGGGTTCTGTGATTCAAATTAAACCCGATTAGTTAATTGATTATTTGAATTATTTTTAAATAATGTTTTGAGTTTGTCCTATAAATTCGCAGAGAACGTTCATATCATCATTCTTGTATACCCGCATAGATAAACCCAAAAATGTCGCTAGAAATAGAAGCCCTAGTGCTAGGACTTTGATATAGAAAGTTGTATCCTAGTGCATCAAACGCAATATTCAATATCATTATTCTATTTGTTGTTTAAAATATAATTACTAATTAAAGTAATTAAAAAAAGGCTAACATAATTACTAATTACTAATTATATATTTTTTAATGTATTTTTTTTAAGATTAAATTTTCATTTTAAAGATTATAGCCACATGGCGATACCAATTATATATATAAAAAGGGACGCACCCAGGGCCTAGGTGCCACTTGTCGAATACTAAATTCTGAACAACAAAAAGTAGGAAAATGAGTATAGCCGAACGGCGATACTATTTCTTAAAAAATTTCAGAAAGAATCTAGTATAGCCAGGCGGCTATACTATGTAAAAAACGCTAACATATTACTTAATTACATATATTAAATTAAAGAAGTAGGCCAAAAAACAAAAGTTAAGAAACTAATTTTATATTTGGTAATATATGTTTTTTCAAATTAAATTTTCATTTTGAAAAGTATAGCCGTATATATATATATATATATATATATAAAGGGATGCGCCAGGGCCTAGGTGCCACGTGCCAAATACTATTTTTGATCAAAAAAGTAGGAAAATGAGTTTAGCCGCTCGGCTATACTGTTTCTTAAAAAAATTCAGAAAGAATCTAGGCTATACTATTTATGCATGTTAGAAAGGCTAACGTATTACTAATTACATATATTAAATTAAAGAAGTGGGCCAAAAAACAAAAGTTAAGAGACTAATTTTATATTTGGTAATATATTTTTTTAAGATTAAATTTTCATTTTGAAAAGTGTAGCCTCACGGGCAGTTCTTTTTGTTGAAGTTATCCCATGGGTGCCTCACACAGAATCTTGTCTCAATATTGGGCACAATGTCTTCAAATGCACCAGGCAATTCTTTTTGCTTGTCAGATATAATGACCCATCTTTGGGAATTAACAATGTCCACATCCTTGGCTAACAGGTCAATGAACCATGTCCATGACTCCCTTGTTTCCATATCAACCACAACATATGCTGGTACCCAAGTCTCGTTATTGGGATCAATCTCTACTGCTGTAGGCAACTGTCCACCATAAATCCCTTTTAATAGGCAGACATCTAACCTAATAAAAGGCCTACAGTTCATCTTAAACCCTCTCTTTGTCTTCCAGCTCATGGCAATAATCCCAGAGCATGGCATATTGTTCAGCAACTGATCCTTCAATGATTCGAAGTGCCTCTGCCTTTGCCCTGTAAGCTTTCATCCTAGATATACCTACTTTAAACTCAGAAGAGGCTGAGTTCACTATAGACTGTAGAGGCATCGTGGGATTTGACTGAATCCTTGGCAGGAACTTATCTCTCAAGCATTTACTTGAGGCTTGTGTGTTTTCAAATACTCTGACGCAATTGTGATTGAGATTATAGTATTTCACCACCAAGCTTTGATCTGTAGGGTTTTCCCAAGCCACATAAATCTGCCATGGACAACTCATTGCTTTACAAACTGCCTTCAGCTTATACTTTTGATTCCTGGTGAAAGTGACCTCTTTCCCACTCAACAAGCAATATTCACGAACAGCTTCTCTGAAAACCTTGCAGTCACTGAATATCATTCCAGTATCAAATACAGAGTTTTGTTTGTCTATTTCATGGTTATAGTGTTTGAATTTTTTCCCCCTTACAACTGTTTCATCATCTTCATCTGAATGAACATTTCTTAACTCGTCCTTCACTGCTTGATCCCCCTTTTCCAATCTGGTGTCTTGAAGATCTGTATGGTGAAAATCCATAGTCCGAGAAGGCTACTCCCTATTTTGACCAATTTGTGAAGGTTGGTCTTCATTTTGACCAGTCTGTGAAGGGTGGTCCCCACTTGACCAGCATGTAAAGGTTGGTCCCCACTTGGACCTTCACCCTCATTAACAACACCACCTTTATTAACAACACCACATTCACCCTCATTTATCTTTTCATCTTCAAGAGGTTGAAAAGTATCTTCAACTAGGGCATAGTCTGTAATCCACTGTTGCAAAAAATTGGTTTCCTCTGCTATCTCTTCAATGTTATTGTGAAGACCCGTATTTTTAAAATATATATATATATATATATTTTTTGTTGTCTATTTTATATATTTTTAAATTGATTATATATATAGTTGTTTTACCATTTTAATAATTATATGTATTTAAACAATTAACTAGCTCTAAAGTGGACGTTAGTTTGTGTTTTATCAAGTTACTTTTTCCTTATCAACAACCCATGACTTGGTGTAATATTCCACATCGACCAACGGAGAGGGGGTGATGTGCCTTATATGTACATGCCCGCCTCCATCTAGCACGAGGCCTTTTGATAGCTCACTGGCTACGGAGTCATGAGAACTCTGAAGTTAAGCAATTCCACGATAGGTGACCTACTGAGAAGTTGCTTGTGAGTTCTTAGAAACAAAACTGTGAGGGCAGAGAGGGGAGCCCAAAGCAGATAATATCGTGCTACGGCAGAGCCGATCCCGAGATGTGACAATTTGGTATCAAAGCCACTCTAATGTGTGGTGCAAGTGTGCCAACGAGGACGTCGGGCCCCTAAAGGGGGTGGATTGTAACATCTAACATCGACCAACGGAGATGGAGTGATGTGCCATATATGTACATATCCACCTCCATCTAACATGAGGCCTTTTGGGAGCTCACTAGCTTCGGAGTCATGAGAACTCCGAAGTTAAACGACTTGAGGCTGGAGCAATCCCGGGATGGGTGACCCATTTGGAAGTTGCTCGTGAATTCCCAGAAACAAAGCCGTGAGGGCAGAGAGGGGGCCTAAAGCGGACAATATCGTGTTACAGTGGAGTCGATCTCAGGATGTGACAAAAACGACCAGTCGACTCCATGCTACCAAAATCAAGAGGAGGAAGTTGAACTATTTTCTGAGCTTTTGCCCGCACCAAACCCGCCTTCAGCTCTAGTACTACACTAATCACCTTCTAAGGAAGTCATTCAGGTAACATCTCCCTCTAAAACTGATAACGCTAATGAAATATATCATGATGATTTGATTTCAGAAAGCGTAAAGGACATAGATACCTTTATATATCAGCTTGATGTTAAAAATGCCTTCTTATATGGAGATTTGGACGAAGATGTATCACCATGATGTAATATAGCCCTTGACAAGAAAAATCACGTTTGCAAGCTCAAAAAATCATTATATGGGTTAAAACAATCTCTCATGGTAAGGTTTGGCAGATTTATTAAGTCCATGAAGAATTTTGGATACACTCAAAGTAATTCAGATCATACCCTGTTCTTGAAGTGTGATGGAGGTGTAGGGGTCTTTTTGTTCCAGCAGCCTGACGAATGGGCTTGGGCTGCTGTGAGAAGAAAACAAACAAAATTCCCCCGGTGTTTGAGTTCAAGAACCAAGCTCCCAAAAAGTTTTTTGAAAAGTTTGCTAAAACTTTAGAAAAACCGCTTTCAGATTCTTTTCACTAATAACCAAACAAACACAACAAATCGATGAATGGCTTGGCTTGAGGAGCTTGTGGCATGGGAGCTAAGCTTTCACAAGTTTAGCAATTTGAGAGAAAGAAAGCATGAGTTCCTTGCAGAATTAAAATGGGGTAGAAGAAAAATTAGGAGGATTTCTATCTTAGGAAAAGAAGAAAACAACGAGAGAAGTAGATTGGGTGGCTTGAGTAAACTCCAGTCGCTTGACAAAGCTTGGTCAGGCTCTGGATGATGATTTTGCTGGGTAGGAGAAGCTCCCTTTTATAGGCTAAAAAAATCCTAATTTCATCTAACTTTTCTCTCCCTTTTCCGTTGTTTCTTCCTACTTGATCTAATTTGGTGAAATTCTCCTATCCAATACGCTTGGATAAGGAGCCCTTTGGGGTTCCAAGGATTTTGTGTGGCTAGACCTCCCCATGAGGGTGAGGCGCCACTTGCTTTCTTTCTTGATTTTTCAAAATGGTGCTTACAGTAGGAAAGGGAGATGGGTGGAGTCTTTTGTCCGCTGGGTATTCTTCCTATGTTCATGGATTTCCTTTGGTCCCTGCCATGGCTCTTTGTTGACCACCTTGGAACTCTGACAAAGATGAAGCACGATGCCAGATTTTTCACAAGTCACTGGGCTGGGCTCGTGAGCACAGTATTGGGTTATTAGCATGTTATTTCCTGTGCTTAATGGGTTTTCGTCAAGCTGCTACAAACAGCTTATTTAATTATAGGCATTTTATTGGTGTAGGCTTGTCTAAGTGTCATAGCAGATTACTAGGCATTCTCCTAAGGCATTGGATCATTTTTCCTCTTCTTTCATGCTAACCCATGTGTTTGGGCTCGAAGAACGGGCTTGCGTTTTAATGCTCCCAAGTAGCTTAAAACTTTTCATTCCTCGAACCCTCCATGGGCCCTATGATTGCTTGTTCCCTTCCATACCACAATCTTCTCAGCAAGCCCCGGGTAACTACATGGGTTGGGCCCACTTAAGCCTGTAGCATAGCTGGGTATTAAAATAGTGGTTTTCCACATGGCCTTGCGTGTTTATTTAGCCTGCTTGTGCTTGAATTTTATCATGCCACAAGAAGTTATGATCGGGCCAAATAGCATCGGATTGAGTTGGTGAGCGTGCATTTACAAAGCCGATGCATTTTGATTCTTTTGAGCATGTTTGCTTGGCATGACGCACGGCCCATGGCTTACATGGGCGCGTCCCACAATTTTTCTTATGTTTCTTTCGCGATCAATTTATTCGTGTTGGGCTAGGAATAACTTGGGCCTAATCCTTGGATTTTTGGGCCTTAACAGGAGGAAAAATTACTACATTAATTATTTATGTGGATGATATGGCCGTAACTGGGAACGACACAGAAGAGCAACAAAAGCTACAAAAGTATTTATCTCAGGAATTTGAGATGAAAGACTTAGGAGATCTGAAATACTTCCTCGGAATTGAAGTAGTAAGGTCAAAAACTAGTATTTTGTCTCAAAGGAAGTATGTGATGGATCTACTCACTAAAACAGGAATATTTCGATGCAAGCCTACGGACACACCCATTGAGATGAATCTCAAGTTGTGTGAAGACATGGATCGTGTGTCTACCAATAAGGAACAATACTAGCGCCTTGTTGGAAGGTTGATATATTTGGCACACATAAGACCAGATATTGCACATGTTGTAAGTGTGGTTAGTCAATTTATGCATTCTCCCAATGTTTCTCATAAGAATGCAGTTGATTACATGGGCGCGTCCCACAATTTTTCTTATGTTTCTTTCGCGATCAATTTATTCGTGTTGGGCTAGGAATAACTTTGGCCTAATCCTTGGATTTTGGGGCCTTAACAGGAGGAAAAATCACTACATTAATTATTTATGTGGATGATATGGCCGTAACTAGGAACGACACAGAAGAGCAACAAAAGCTACAAAAGTATTTATTTCAGGAATTTGAGATGAAGGAGCTCTAAAATACTTCCTCGGAATTGAAGTAGTAAGGTCAAAAACTAGTATATTGTCTCAAAGGAAGTATGTGATGGATCTACTCACTGAAACAGGAATGTTTCGATGCAAGCCTACTGACACACCCATTGAGATGAATCCCAAGTTGTGTGAAGACATGGATCGGGTGCCTACCAATAAGGAACAATACTAGCACCTTGTTGGAAGGTTGATATATTTGGCACACATAAGACCAGATATTGCACACACTGTAAGTGTGGTTAGTCAATTTATGCATTCTCCCAGTGTTTCTCGTAGGAATGCAGTTGATTGGATCTTAAGGTACTTAAAGTCATCCCCTGGAAAGGGACTAATGTTCTCCAAGAATGGAAATCTTGAAGTTATTGGATATACAGATGCTGACTGGGCTAGTTCTATTATAGATAAACACTCTACATCGAATTACTTTACATTTGTTGGAGGTAACCTTGTCACTTAATGTGGTGTCCAGGTCTAGTGCAGAAGCTGAATATAGAGGAATGGCTCAAGGAGTCTGTGAATTATTATAGATCAGAAGACTCTTGACAGAATTGGGTTTCAAACTATAAAAGCCAATGGAGTTATATTGTGAAACAAGTCAGTTATCGATATTGCTCATAATCAAATTCAATGTGATCGAACCAAACATGTTAAGGTGGATAGACATTTCATCAAAGAAAAAAATTGAGAACAAAATCATATGTCTAACCTTCGTAAAATCATAAGATCAATTGCCGAATGTCTTAACAAAAGCTGT